TTAACTTCAGGGAGAAGAAGATAGAGGGTCTAACATTTCTGCGCAGTCTGGCTGTCTACCACTCAGACACACTCCAGGGCAGGCTTCATGATGTCTGCCTGTCTCTCATTCAAGAGGTAGTATAACTTGTTGTGCAACACTCTCACACCACTTTTACTTTTTCAGTTTGCTGCTTTACTCCATCTCAACTTGCACTGCTTTACTTCAGGATTTATATGTTGATATCTGATTTTGCAGATTAATTCTCAGGCTACATCCACACTAATACAATCTCAAGCGTTTTAGCACTGTTCCAGACCTAATCTCTGTCTATATTAACATGCCTGAAAATGCATGTCACACAACCATTCATGTACACTGTTATTGTCAGATAGATGTCTTAAACATCTATCTCTGTTGTTTGATGCTGGAATAACCCCGTTTCCACTATAACAATGTCCTTGTCATTCAGGTGAAGAACCTGCGGTCCAGTGTCTCCAGGGTCGCAGTATGTACACTGGGCGACCTGTACACCCACCTGCAGAAGGCAATGGACCAGGAGCTGGAGGGAACAGTTAAAGCATTACTGCAGAAAGCCGGGGAGAGTAACGCCTTCATTAGGCAGGATGTGGATGCAGCGTTGGGCTGCATGGTTAAGCACTGCACGCCAACTCGTTGCATCAATGCTTTGCTCTCTGGGGGACTAAGGTCAGTGTGCATCTCTACACACACACACACACACACACACACACACACACACACACACACACACACACACACACAGTGAAGTGCTGTTCCACCGCACTCACAATTTTGAGTTTTAGTGGGTACTTTTGCACAATTTATAAAGCTTTTGATCGCTGAATTGGTTTCCCTTCTCCTCTGATAGTCACCTCAACGCAGTGGTGAGAAAATGCACCGCCCAGCACCTGGCTGATCTGGTGGAGAAGGTTGGTGCTGCCCGTCTTCTGTCTGGAGCCAAAGATCTCACAGATAGAATCTTACCTGCCGTTACCAAACTCGCACAGGACTCCTCACAGGAAGCCAGGTATGTTCCTCTGCTTTTGTTGTAGTGATATAGTGCAGTTATCAGTGCGGTTTTTACAAGTAGAAAAGGTTTCAACTTTTGCATTTGCACAAGTTTTGTGTAATTCATAAATATTACATGTTTTACAAATTGTTTGTAGCAAAGAAACAAATATTGGCTGGGTCTTGTAGCTGATTCACATAAAATCCTTATCATGCTTTGCGGGAAATTCTATGCCATTAAAAACATAACTAATAATGGGAAATTCAAAATATGAAATCTCCAAAATTACCATTTTCATACTGGTTCAACCCACAGGTACTTTGGGCGACGAATGCTGCTGTCCCTCTCATCCCACCCTGACTTTGACAAGATCCTGGAGAAATATATCCCCACCAAAGACCTGCCGACCGTCAGAGACACTGTCTTCACTCTCAAGACAAAGGCACAGTGTTTTATTTTCTATGTTTATAAAATGTATGGTACTTTTCCTAAAGGTCACACTGTCATCTTACCTGGAGATTGTTGGGTGTTTTTTTAAGGGTCTTGGTGAGATGCCCCAAGACACGCAGTCAGCCAGAGGTAGACGCTCCCTCCCAGGTAGCGGGACAGTCAGAGCCTCATCTCTCACCAGAGAGCCACTCAACCAGACCAACAGGTGGGTGTAAATATCAACCAGCACAGCAGCCCTGTTCAGCCTTTTGAGCAGAGGTGTAGCCAAGCACAACCTGTATAATGCATATATGAAATACATTATTCACACTGTAGATGCAGGTTTATAAAATAAACTATGTGATGTGTTTTGCATCATCTACAGGGAGTCTAATAGCTATTACAGCTGTAGATCTCAGACGCAGAGTATTGCAGACAAGACCGAATACATCAAGCAGATCTCAGGTCTGCTGGGTTCAAAGGACTTCAGAGAGAGGATCAAGGGGATTGACCAGCTAGCAGCTGACTGCCAGAGCAACCCCAACATGGTCATCAATAGTATATTCCCGGTTAGTACTAACATTTTTGTTTTGTCATGGTTCTCAGTTATCATTATACAACACTGTGTCATCTTAAAAACGCAACAAAATGTCTCACCTTTTTTTCCTTTCCCTCTGGCCTTCCTTCTTTCAGGTGTTTGATGCCTTCAAGGCCAGGCTGCAGGAGTCCAACAGCAAGGTCAACCTGTACGCCCTCGAGTCTCTGCAGAAGATCATCCACTTGTTGAAGGACAACCTGTCCCAAGTGGTCAACATCCTGGTCCCAGCAATCGTGGACAATCACCTCAACTCCAAGAACAACGCCATCTACTCTGCTGCTATTGGAGCTATTAATGCACTTATCTTAAATCTTGGTACTCATTTTGAGCATTCAGATATTTCTGGTAGAGGTGAAAGTAGAAGCTCACTTAAATTGGAGAATTGTCTTTATGTAACTTTGTGAATTTCTTTGTTTCCATGATAGATAACATACTTCTTCTTCAGCCTTTCTGCACCAAGGCTCAGTTTTTAAACGGCAAAGCAAAGGTGGATCTTATCGAAAAGGTTGCAGGTGTGTATGCTTTAAGAATTCTGATCTGATTCTGCAGTATATGCCTTGGCTCCCAAATTGTTTTGTATGTCTGACCACCTGTTGTGTCTTCTTGCTTTCTATTTCCAGACCTTGTGACAGAGCTCTACCCTCGCAAGCCCCAGATGGTGGAGCAGAAAGTGCTTCCCTTGCTGTGGCACCTCCTGGGCACCTCCACCCACAGTGGTACCATTCATGGCCGGGGCGGCAGCGTGAGGGGTGCTACCGCCAACCTGTGCCAAGCTCTTTACGCCCAGATGGGGCCCAGCCTGACTGAGTGTGCTGCCTCCCAGCCTGCCAATATCCACAAAGGTTTAAATGAGGTCCTGAGGACCATATCCTAAAGGTAAACCAGAGTCCAAACAGAATCTAATGTTGGAAGAGAAGAACATTAACACTGACCTTACTTGAAGACAGAGATGTTCTACATTTCTTACAGTGCCTGCACTTTTATATCAGTAAAGAGAAAGTCCTTTAAAAAGTAGGAGCTCTTAATCTTATCTCAGTGAGATTTCCTCTGGTACAGACGCATGCATGTAACATACTGACATCAGGTCTCACACACACACACACACACACACACACACACACACACACACAACCTGCTCTCTTTGCACTTTGAAAAAGTAGCTCATCATCATGATAGACTTCATGAGTTTTACATTTTACCATCCTATGATTGTCATTGCTTTTTTTCATAATCTAAACATGTACTGTAGACAAATCAGAGAAGCTATTGCAGAATGTAAAATTTGAAATGCACAAAAAAAAGACGAAGAAGACAGGGACCTGAAAGGTGTATATTTTTGCTGTATCATCAAATGTGATGTGATATTTTCAAAATGTCTTATGTAGTTGTTTTTTTGTGAATTGAGATTAACAAAACTAGTACAAAATACTTTTGTACAGCTCAAATGTGTATTTGCACAGTATTAGCTTCATCTGTAATCGTATGCTGTATAATGGTACAGTTTATAATTTATATATTGTGTAATGGTTTCAAAGTCTTGTTAATGATGTGCTGAGCTGGTACCGTCTGTCTTTTTTTGCATGACCAAAATTAACTGGCAGGATCAAAATGTGTTTATATTTTTGTTAAGGAGATATATATGTACACTGATGCCTAGATCAAGGTGGGGTTGGGACCAAGTCTCGCGGATGGGGACAGCGTGAAAGGAAAAGGAGTTCAGTTTTTTACTCAAGCGGTTGCCTGAGAAACAGTGAAGGCCCGGATCTGATTGTGTCTCAGTATAGTGCCAGTCTTCAAGTAGCCTTTTAACTCATCTATTGTTAAATTATATTGAACTTGTTTGCGGACAAGAGCAAAGACAGATTGATATATAAATAAAGTGTTTATTTCTGTAAAACCAACTTCCAGGTACCTCATTCACTAATGCGACTGGAAAAAATGGGTATTGATTACATCTGTTAAGGTCTCATCTCAGCTGTTAGTTTGTTTTGAAAGGTGAATTAAATTCACACATTCTATGCCTTTAAAGTACCAAATTTATCTTTATTAAAGGGATTGTTCACCCTAAAATACAAACATACATATTCTTCCACTTACCTGTAGTGCTATTTATTAATCTAGATTGTTTAAGTGTGAGTTGCCGAGTGTTGGAGATATCAACTGTAGAGATGTCTGCCTTCTTTTGAATATAATGGAACTAGATGGCACTCGGCTTGTGGTGCATGTGAAAAACTCAACAGCAATATCTCTTCACAGAAGTCATGACCTGGTTTCTCAAGATAATCCACAGACCTTTTTGTGAGCAGTTTCTTGTAGGAACTAGTTTCATTCTGCCAAACTGCACCCGCCAATCAAATCACTGCTTAGAGGGAATCGTGCATCTACTGCTAGCTCACCTAGCACCACTGAGCTAGCTAACATTACAGCTCAGCCAAGGATGACACCATTAATATTTACATCTTGCACTGTCACAGGCTCGAGCCTCTCATCCATGAGAAGATGCATAGTTCCTTCTGGGTGGTGATACGATTGGCGGGTGTAGTTCAGTAGAAAGAAAATAGTTCCTACATGAGACTGCTCACAACAAGGTCTGTGGATTATTTGGGGTCACTGGGTCATGATTTGTGGAAAGAGACATTGCTGTTGAGTTTGCAGACAAGTCTACAGCCGATATCTCCAAAACTTGCTAACTCATTAACTGATAAACTGATTTTAGGGTGAACCATCCCTTTAATGGGTAGTTACTGAATACACAAGACTTCACAAGTTTGTTGTTTTGACTGTGCTTAATTCTTATGTAAAGCCAATAGTAAATTTTCCTTATAATGTGTAAAACAACAGAAAATCACTGACTGTAAAGGACCTTTGACAAGTAGAAATGTAGTGTGTGACTGTAGAGGCTATGCAGGCCAAGGCCTTAGAAAAGAGGTGTTCTTAGAAAGCAGTAAAGAAAATGAGACAGACTCATATTACATGTTTAATAACCAAAATGCACAAATGCTTCGATGTTTCAGACGGATCACTATTATCACTTTAATTGGCTTGTCAGGAATTAAATAGTATGGCCAAGGTACATTACTACCAAGGTTGAAATTAAATAAAACGCAAATCATACTGTCATCCCCGAAACTTTTAACTATAAAAGTAGCTGCCAATTTTTTAAATTGTACTGTTCAGAGATTTATGCCAGCCACATTACTCTGCTATCTGCTATCCAACACAGTATCATGAGAGACAAGTGAGTGTCCTTTGACCCACGTGTTACAGTAGGTGATTTTACAGCATTTCAACAGCAGGGTGGATGAGCTCATGCTCTGAGGGATGCTGCTACTGAGCCTGAAGGCAACCCTGATAAAGCACTGATGAACTCAAGTTTTGTTAACCGATCAGTGTCAACAAAAACAGTAGGTGTGCTGCACATTGGTATAACATATAAACCATTATACAAGTTCATTCACCATAGATTTAGTGTCTTCTCACACAGTCCATTTAAACAGTTATATCAAAGGTCACCCAGCTTTTAGTAAATCCAGCCTGCTTTTTAAGTATTAAACTTTCAAAGCAAAGCTATAAAAATGGCGGAGCATATTCAGGATAATAGCAAAAGTGAAAACTCCCTTTAAAATTCTGAGCTAACCACAGTGGTGTTGTCGACAAGGGCCAAATATGTTTGCTACTTAAGTATGGCTCAAATTTCTTCCCTTTGCGAATGATGCAAAAGACAAAAGGCATACTATGAAATACATACAACTTCTTCAACTGTCATGAAATGTGCTTTTTGTGACGGAAATTGGAACACAAATAGATAACCAAAGAGTGCACCTGCATTGTTTGAAAATGATGATACTAATTCCTTGACCATGTCGAAAACTTAAACACAACATATTTTATCAAACACAACTGTTAAGTAAACCCTCTGATCATTTCTTGTGCCATGAATGAGGGCTTTATGGTTTTGGTTGAGTGTTCATTTAATGCTCTGCTGCTTTGAGTCACTATATTGTTCCCTCGGCTTCACCGACCAAACGGAAAAATAGCTCCTCCTCCTCTTCCTGTGGATCTTTCCATTCTGTTACTAAGGCAGCTGGATCAATTCCATGGCAACCTGGACTGGTTAGATGTTGGGAGAAGATGAGTGTGTGGTCGCTGTGCTCCGCGCCTCACTTTGTCAGGGACCAGGTGTCTTGGGCAGGTCCTGGTTCTCAGCCAAGTGGAGCTTTTGTCTGAACGCGGACACGTTAAGGATTCACACAGATGAATTTTGAGCTGTAAACATTATTTGTCTGAGCCTGGAGTGTTGGGTGATCCCTATAAATAATGTCATTTAATTAGGAAAGGATACATTGACGTGCTGAGCTCCTCCAGCTGCGGGAACAAACGGGTGAGAGGTTTATTGAGAATAGGAACAACCAAAAATAGAACACGATGTGGTGGCACAAAAGGACTAATCACTAACTGTGGTCATGTTACATAACGGCCTGTGTGTCAGGTCAATATTTGAATTAAACTGTTATCATGCGACTGCATTGTTTACAAAAGCAACTAGTCAACTTCCCTTCTTATCCGCACAAGGGAAAGTCACTTCACAGCCCATCTGCTCTCCAAGTATTCCTGGCAGCAGTATCTGCCTGTTCTCACCTCCCTCACACACTGCAGCTTCCCCTCAGTGAATATACCAGCCCCAGGCGAGGGTAACTAGGAGCCACGCAACACGCTAACAGTAGAAACTCTTTCAAGGCATTCTTGGACTACACATTGCTGTTTGTGCTGGATAATGTTTAACATTTAAACATAGTAGAATCAGAGCGTACAACAGCTCTAACACTGTCATATGACTAATCTCAGAGATGCTTCACAGCTGAGCGTGAATGGAAGAGAAACTCGATTTGTTGCTTACAAGTTACTGTAAGTCATGAGCTTGACGTACATGGAATAAATGCCTGACTCTTCTGACCTGTGAGGCTCTCAAAAATGCACACACACTGCATTATTTAACTACTATCCTGCTGAAATATTCCATGACCCTTTGTGGGCAGTTCATGACTGTACTGAAGTGCTCCTATGACCTAATAATTTAATTCTCTCCTGGTTTTTTTATTACACTGTTTTTAAGCTGTGACTATATCATTTGGCTTCGGCCTTGCTTAAGAATAAAAACAACGTGTGGGGAAATAATTTCAGTATTATGTGTACCTTACTGCTCAGCCTCAGGCGCGACCGTTTGTAAAAACACATCAGTGAAACCTGCCTCGCCCTGCGAGCCCAACTAAACTGGAGTAGACATTTCTGTGGTGAGTTTAGGTGCCATTTCAGTGGCTTGTCCTCAATGACAAATATTATTCTTTAAAATTCAGCAGGCAGTTTTGGCAATTTAAAAGGTACTGGATATTCAAAGATGCATCCAAGTTCATAACCTGGTGAAAACTGAGATTACATGTCCCTTGTTTATCAAAAGAAACAACACAGATGAGGATGCTGCTGTGCTTTTTGCTTACGTTACACAGCAGGTGTTCCAGGTTGTGGTCGGAGGCACACTTCCTCTGGTCCTCTGAAAGCTCCTCCACATGGCTGTCGAGGCTGAAGTGCAGTCGGGCCAGCTTCTCCTGCATTTCACGTACATGCTCCAGCTGCTCAAAGGAGCAAACTTTACCTAGGAAACAGATGAGTGAAATAAGACAGGTGTAACTTCTCAAAGACACAAAGTGTCATATCTTGTGGCTGTGGGAGGATTACAGCAAAGTCATAAGTATTTCCATGACACCTGATGTGTAAAAATAGCACCACAGCTATTTGATTTCAGCTTGATTCGTTTAACAAAGCCACTTTTCAACTGGCTTTATTTCCAGCCTGTAACAGAATATTCCCTTGGTGGCCTCTCTCTAATCAAGGTTATCTTACCGAAAGCCTGTAGTTTGCCTGAGTGAAAGTCATTGAGGAGGTTGAGGAGGCCTCCTTCCATCTCTCTCACATCTGAGACATCTGTGAGAAAGGAGTGCTGCAGGGGGGAAGACTGGACTACTTTACTGGGCCCGGCAGGCTGGGGGGCCCTGGGCTTCTCCTTGTGGGGCCTGCTGGAAAGCAAACAGAAACATCACACTCATGTGTAATGAGTTATTATAACTCAGTGACAACATTATTTAAAAAACAGCCACGCCCTCAGTCGTCTCATCACATGCATACAGTACTTAAGCTAAATTTTAAGGTAAAATGCAACTTGCCATAGTGATTTGATAACCGTTTAAGTGAGACTTAATAGCATTCAGAGGAAAAAATAACACAATCCTCCTTTAAAAAATGAAAACTTGAATTCATAAGCAATAGAAACAACCCATACTCAGTTCAAAACACTTTGGGTTTTTGCTGCTATACTATACTTGGTCTGGTATGACCTGTGGCTTATAGAGACTAAAGCTAAAAAACCTAAATAACACTATATAACAGATGTTACCAGTGAGTTTGCCCATTTTCCTGACTCTTTTACAAAGGCTTAGCTTTGTTGCTACATGCTGAACATTATTCACCATTATCCAATAAATGTCAGTTAAAATTTTATTTATTTATCTATTTATTTAACAGGGACAGTGCACAGACACTTCGCTGCACCAGAGTAAGCTATAAGCTATTTTCAGGAAACAGAGAGTAATTTCTCTGCTCATATACCATATACACCAGTTATACAATTAGTTGACTTCTCCCTGTATATTTAAATGTCAGTGCAAAATGATGAGTATAGTGTATTTAATTCTGACGCACTTTCAAGATAATAGACTTATTCTACTATACTCAGGTGTAGCTGTGGTGGAGATGCTGCACACTGTATATGATCTGACTTATCTAATAATGCCTGTTACCTGTTTGAAAAAGGATGATAGGACAAAAAAATGTACAGAGTATTTGCAGCAGTTTGTGTTTCCTGGAGAAATGTCCTGTTACATTAAGACACAAACCTGGCGGTCTTTGGTGGAGCTACGACGGCTGTAAACACCTCTTTGGGCTGCCCTGGCGCTCCTATCGACCTCTTGAATTTGCCTCTGTTCTTGGGGGAGGGGGGCTGCGGCAGGCCAAGAGAGAAGGTGGCACTTTTGCTGGCAGGCAGGACGGAGAGTTTGCGGGGGTTGATGGGGGGAGGAGGAGGCTGCGGGAGAGACACCTTTGGGCTCCGCTTCTTGCGTTTGTCCTCCATGATTATTTATCTTTAAAGAGAAGGTCTCCGGGGGTGAGATGATGAGGAGGGCACTGCCTGGCTGGTGTACAGGATGTCCCTTCGCAGCAACAAAGGTAGGAAGTTCAAAACCAGCAGCCTTCCCCCTCCCTGAGAGAAGGATGGAGGATTCTGACTGTGCCAAAATTAGCGCTGCAGCTCAGGATTCTCCACTCTGCAAAAAAAAAAAAAAAAAAAGCATTTAGTGGTGCTTTCATTAGTTTAACAGCATCCCCAAGTTATCGCATCAATATATCTGTCACAGACAAATCTAAATCATCAGAAGGGATGCTACTACATCTCAATAAAAAGTGACAGACAAAGTACACCACTGATCGACCTGAGATGAAAGTTTTGCAGGCAATCTTCTTCCTTTTCCATAATGCCTCCCAGGTGTAAACAGGGAGTGAAACAGTGGCCTAGAAAGATATTTTTAGAGCAGCCTCGAAGTGGAACGACCTTAGAGAATATGTGTGAGCTGAAGGACGCCCCCGATTAATATTTTAAGGGACATTTTTCCAATCACACAAGTCAAGACAAATGATCCAAGAAATCCATAGTGCTTCACTGCAGTGGATTGTGTTCTCATGTTTTACTACTTGAAAGGCTGCAATGCACAGACAGGTAACATGAGTCCACAGGAGCGTAGTGTATGTTATTAAAATGGAATGTACAGAGCTTTCAGACAAATGGCTGAAAGAGAAAATCAATACACTGCATTGTTATTGAGGCTTCCCCATGGTAGGATAGTGGAGTTTAAAGGTCTTACCCTTATCTATTTACACTCAGTGGGTGACCAGAAAACAGCACATTTTACACTGTGAAGTAAGCCAATAAAATACAACAGACCTGCAATGAATTATGATATTTTTCTGTGAATTAAAGGCAGTATTACAGGACTTGTATTGGATAACATTAGTTATATATGTGGCATTTTCAGTAACATAACCTCTGAACTATTACAGCAGTACAGTGGTTGTTTATTGGTGCATATACAGATAAAGTGAGGGCATTTATGTCACTGTGGTGTCTGTTATTTGGCTATTTAACACTACACCCCATTAAAATGGGATGAAATCACAGTTATAGTGTGTTATCTCCCTAACACTGCGTCAGCCTCCGTTCAAAGTAGAATCCAAAGATGGCCCCTACAGTAATACACAAAGACAACTTTATACGCTGAAACCCTTCTTCACTTGGATTATATCAACACTAAAGAAAAGCTATTAGAAGAACAAAATGGAGACAGCTGTTTGTGACACCATCCTGATAAATTCCGAGTGAGAGCAGACGTGTAAACAGATTTATCGTCCTCGAGTGACACAAATAACGACTTACCGAATCAATTACGCACCAGAGAGCAACCTGGCTGAGCACGGCGTCGCATTTCTCCTCCCGCCATTTAAAAACGTCAAAGTACACTTTATTTACAGCAGTCTTCATACAGTATAGTGCTGGTGAGTCGACTCCGCAGCACCGCTGAAAATTACTGATGAAATGTAAAGAGCCGCGCGCGGCATCGATGCGCTCGGCTCGTGCGGAGCTGTCGTCTTTATCCGTCTTAAAGGGCCAGTACACCCCTTTGTGTGTGTGTGGTGTGTGTGTGTGTGTGTGTGTCAGGGGAGGAGCAGCCCTGCAGGTCGGTGTCACTGTTTACTGTCGTACAGGTGCAGCCAACAGCATGCTGAGCAAAGCTTGACACTGATCAGCTGATGGTGCGAATATCTTACTTATATTATAGCCTGGAGGTTTTTCCATTGCAGGTACTTGGCACTTGAAAATACTATAAACAGGCCACATGGTGACGCCAGTGTTCATGTTTCTTTATGATCCTCATCACTTTCACTGACATCTTGAAATATGATAATTACTCAGCTACCTCGATTAATGGCTTTACTCAGGGGCGTATCTAGGATTTGAGGACAGTGGGGACATAGTCCGGACCTCTGTAGGGGGGGATCCTCCCCAGGGAATCTTTTTATGAACAAGCTCTATTTTAATGCTTTTTTATGCATCTTTTTAGGCATCTTATTTACCCTGTTTTTTATTTTAGTTTCCAGATTAATTATGAATTGTGACATTGACATTATCAGTTGTTAGCAATTAGCATTGAATAGAAACAGAATACTTTGCAAAAAAATTTAGATACCTGAGTATTTACATCTTATGCTACTTCATACCAAGCACCTCGGAGCACCTTGGAGTGAAATATTGTACTTTCACTCCACTACCTACAGTATATTAGTTTGCAATATTTACTTGAAAGACTTAATAAACAAATAAACAACTGTATAATTATAGATTTACCCACCCAACAGTCTATAAAGCATTTAAAATGAGCTCCATCTTTACCCACTGCAACATTAAAGTGATTATTAGTGTGCTTGCTATTTTGCACGTGATCACACAAAATGCGCTGCTTAAATGACAGAGGACCCAAAACTCATGTTTTTGATCAGTGATATATTATCTTCGAGGGCTTTAATGTATTAACAAAATGACACATTACTAGATCAATTTTTAAAGATTTTTCAGTACATATATATATATATATATATATATGTACTGAAAAAATAATAAGTCTAATGACAATGCTATATATATATATATATATACATACATCTTTAAGGCCTAATATTCACAAGGTTGAATTTAAGACTTCTTAAGGATCTACAGAAACCCTGGAAATGTAGTGTAGTGGTATAAAGTAGCACAAAATGGAGAGTATCTCATAATGTCAAATAAATGTAGTGGAGTACAAAAGTACATTATTTCCCTTTGTGTCTAAAGGTTTTAGAAATTTACATTTATTGCTTTTATAAACCTTTTTATGATCATTTTCCAAATTTGACAAATCATCTTCGTCTTATTCAAGCATTGCAGGTAAGTCTATAGGTAAATATATGGTCATCTACAACAGTAGGTTTTATGTAGGAATATTGTTATTAGAGTGAGTTAAGTTAATCTACATGTAAAGTAAAAGTAAAAAGACAGTATTAGGTTCAGTGGAAGGTTTAAAGATTTGTAACATTAGAAACGTGGATTTTTATCCAGAAGAGCTTGACTCATTTTGACTAATGAAGATTAAAAAATGGATTCATGAAATTAGGATTAAATGTTTGTGGCAATTAACACCTCATTTAAATTTAAGACTATTTAACAACTTTAAGGCCTAATATTCACAAGGTTGAATTTAAGACTTATTAAGGATCTACAGAAACCCTGGAAATGTAGTGTAGTGGTATAAAGTAGCACAAAATGGAGAGTACGAGTACCTCAAAATTGTGCAACACTTGAGTAAATGTACTTACGCCGTAGTTGTACTTTGTTACTTTTCACCACTGTATTTTCTGAAATCAAGAATTTAAACAAAGGGCATTACAACACCATGTATCCTTACACTGTCAGCTCGGATAAGAAAAAAAAAACTTTAATGGGGGAGTAAGGAAATGGAAGAGGAGTGACAGAAGGATCTGTCCCAGGCAAGTACTCCAGCTTTATGAAAAGTGCAGTGCTATAAATGTAGAGGAAGGCTATGATCATTTTAACCCCACTGCATTAAAAAGCTTTAAACCAATTAATTTGGAAACCATCCATGTGAATTCATGCAGTGAATTAATATCTTTTAAACTGCCAGTGTGATATTAAGTTTTTTAAATTAAAAAAATGTGACTCATTTAAGTTTCATATTTAAATTTCAACATTTAGTATTCAGCAGGGAGTAATTAGGATTCAGTGCTAAAAATCTTTGCTTACATCAAAATAATAAATTAGCGGGGAAATCACATTAACTGTGCAACATGACGTGACCGTGTCCTTAGCAATGAAGAGTAAACTAATGTACCCTGTCTACTCAAATTCATACCTATGACCTGAGAAATTCTGAGTTCCTTTTTTGAAGCACAGAGGCCTCTTGTGGTCACAACATGAACATGTTTTAGAAGCAAATAAAACTAAAGCAAACCTTTAAAGTAATACAAAAATATTTCTTTTTATTATGGCAGATCAGAACAAAAACGTGACACAAAATGCAGTTTGTAGAAAAAATACAGAGCTCTTAGGCATGTTTGTGTTGTTCCAAAGTGAAGCGACCCGATAATAAAACCCAAGTCTAACTGACTTTCTGGTCTGACGAGCTGTTTGAGTAAGAATATGCCTTTCCGAGGACTATTCTGTCTCTGAGAAGCTTGAAGAAAGCGTAGTAGTTGCTGAAGAGAATCAGAGCCAGTGATATCGTCTGATGCCACTTTACTGAGCATATCAACGAGTAGAGCTGGTAGAATATCATGGCACCTTCCAGGATGATGAGTATGTTCAATATTCGTAAAGGCTTGTTGAAGAAGAACTGGGGGGAGGGAAAGAGACAGGATGCAGTCAGTCATCAGTACGTGCAAGTAGCATCAGTAGTATCTGGTGGTGTTCTACGCGACTTGGTTATTTAAGAACACTCACATAGAAGCGATAATGGGACACATCTGATGGAACTGCCACATTGTAGTGACCCATGGCCTTGTACACGTTCTTATTATGTTTAACCAGGACTCCCTGTGGCCACATATACTCTTCTGTCCATCTGTGCAAAGGGAGAAAGCAAAGAAAAATTAGGATCTGAAACAAATTAGCCCAAATGGATCTAAAGCCCAGTAACAGACCATGAGCAGTACATACATGTGCTGAAGAACATTGGAGCAGAGCGAGGGGTCTACTTTCTGCCAGCAGCCCAGGTGAGCTGCAGCTTTATGGAGCAGGTCACAGTATCGAGGTGGCAGCAAGTGCCTCATGAGGATGACTGACGTACTGACTGACACCAGGATGAACAGCTCACAGGACCAACGCTTGTCCACATACTGCGTACTCTGAGGGAAGATAGAGGCGAAAAAATTAGAAGCATTATTGGAGCATATTAAATGATATAGCTATGTTTTAAAAGTTAGAATAAAAGGAGCTCTATGTGATATTCAAAGCACATTAGGGTCACAGCTCGGTAAAGTGGTGCAGGAATGAGCCCTAAAACCCGGAAATGAGTTAGCATTTTAGCACTCCCACTTCCCTTGTCTATGGGTAATTTGAATGGGTTTTTGATTAGATGACTGAAATAAGGTCTGTGGTTAACACGATCTAAAGAGACTTTTGCGTTTTGTTCTGCAACATAAAATACGACAGCCCGCTTTTGAATTTTTACGCTTTTGTCTTAAGAAAGGCGGTTGCTAATAAGTGCCTACGTACATGAGGCTACGGAACATCGTCTTGCTGAATATGGCTTTACGGCCTTGCTTTGGTGGTAACTTTAAGTCATTCAACCATTGAGTAGTTTGTTTACAGCATAATGTTAGCTTTTTACTTTTGGCAATTGCATTTACGCTTCAATAATCATGAAAGTGGGGTTCATTTGTGAAGATTATCTTGCTGAACAAAATGTGTATCATAAACATTTATTTACCACAGAGCTAATTTTTTTGCAACAATCCAAAATTCAATGGGGAAATCCCATAGGCTTTCTGACAAGGAGACGCTAACTTCCACATTGGCCTACAAAAAACGTCATCCCTGCAGCACTCTATCACTCTATACTGCAAAACTGTACACTATCACATAAAAATAGATTATCATAATTTGTACATTTGCTTATCTGCGGTATAAAAAAATGCAACTGAACGCAGATTCTTATCTGCATGTGCACATTTCCTTTCCATCTTTACTGTCAGACTTTTCACTTATATTTGCATTTAAAAAAGTTTCAAGTTTCATTTATATTAAAGCATTTGTTCAACCAAAAAAAAACAAAAAAAAAAAACCTTTTTTTTTTTTATTCTGTTAAAGGTCATTTCAACTGATGATAGATATATGGTGATACTGTGACACCAAGATATTTTCAGTGACGATTATCGTACCAGAAAAATCTCATATTATCGCAACCCTATCTTCCAGACACAAGCACACAGCTGCAGCATGCAACGTGGCTTTGTTTTGCTAATCCTTTGTTTAAAGAGTGGTTGGGCAGCAGGCAAACCCAGTGATGCTACTGATCCATTGAAATCATATACAGTGACAAAGACAGGCTACCTTTGATGTTAATGCACATTTAATATAGTTTTCATATGTATACATGAGGTAGTGGATTCGTAACTTTAATGTCTAAAACTTAGTGATATGATTTCAATGTGTGTATCAATACTTTTTGGACATTTTCCCCACATTTGTACAATACTGATAATTGTGACAGTTTCGGTCACTATAATCATGATATGAAAATGTTTATACCATGATTTAGAGGCTGCCTCTGCTCAGGACGACATTACTCCACGCATCTTTACACAGCAAACAGCTGTCTGCTGCTACAATAATGCTGTAAATATCATATAAAGCTCCTTTAAGACAGTTCCTTACCTTGACAAACCAGACGGGTACAAAGGCCACATAATAAGCACTGAGCATCGAGCTGACGAGCACCTCCTTCATCCTCCAGTTGAAGTCCATCTTCAGGTATTCCACCTCCTTACGGATGAGATCTGGGGAGAGGCAGCAGGCGTGCGTTGGCATGGCCTGGACGCCGTA